TTTGTGGAACCCTAAGTGTGGGGGAATTCTTTTCTCCCCTTGGACGTGAGATCGAAAGATATTTCCACGTATGGTGTATGTTTTGGATGTTTTTGCATGATGGTTGACACAGATCACACGTATGTTCACTGCCTGGTGAACCATGAGAAATATGGTGCAAAATTCTAGCAGTGGAGGTACAGTGAGGCGGGGCCTCATTGGGTGTTAGACCTTGACATGTTTAACATGTTCAGGTGTCGGGAAGCAATGTCAGGGTTCCTGAGTCATCCCCAGTGGCGCTGCCTCCTAGCGATTGACGAGCTAATCTACGACAAGCTCTGTGTGGAGTTCTACTCCACCTTCTCCTACGTCATCCCAGGGAGGAAGCGGAGTCGCCCGTACGTGGAGTTCATGCTGGGGGGTGAGTAGCTGTACTGTCATACGATGACTTTGCTCCAACCATGGGGATTGACCCTACCCACATGATGATGGGGGAGAGACAGTACACATCATACTTCCACTACCAGGCTGCCTTTCAGGCCATATGCCGCTCTTAGTCCACAAATCGACCTTGCTCCAGTAGAGCCTGATACAGAGGTTCCTCCTCTAGAGTAGCCACCAACCAGAGCTACAGGCCGTCGCCGGCGCACCGCACCACCACCGTCAGCAACATCATCATTCAGAGGTGGCCCTTCCTCCTCCGTGGCCCACATCGAGCTGCGAGTGGATCGCCTGGAGGAGCAGTTTGTGGGAGTCACCACTCAGCTCGACTGATCCAGCGACCTCCTAGAGAGGATTGCTCGACGCCAGGTTGTCCTTTCGGAAAACGAGGTAGCCGACAAGTGAGACATGTGGCAGTGCCGATTTCTTTCGCCCCACTTATCCACTTCTCCACTTGAAACTCTGAAATCTGTTTAATTTTATTTTAATTTTTCTTTAGTGTGTGAACTGGTAACTTGTGAGTTATCTCCACGCCCAAAAGTTTATTGTCCCAGAACATCTTATCCCCTGGTCAACGCTTTCGAGCCGTGTGAATTTGGGGGTGTTTCTAATGTTAGGAGATTTGTGCTTGTTGAGCTTAATGGTGATCAAAAGAAAGACGCCTCATCCTTTCTTCGTGTCAAAGTTTGAGTCATCCTTGTGTCTCGGAGTTCTCGCATTTGAGCTCCATTGAGGTTCTACATAGGTGGTTTTGCACGATTCTTGCTAGAAATAAAAAGGTAATGTTAGAGGAAATTTCTTTATGGAGAGCATTGTTCGTTTAAGGATAAGTGGCATGTGTTATACTCTCTACTCTCTAGTACCCCCTCAATAAAAAGAAAAAAAGAGAAAAAGAAAGAAAGAGCAAAAGAAAGAAAAGAAACGAAAAAGAGGTAATAAAACGGGGTAAATAAAAGTAGAGAGTGGCCACAAAACTCTTACTGTATGCTCCAAGAAGGGTTTCTTGGCACTCAAGCCATTGAAATACCTAAAATATTTGATAACCTCCTTCACTTCTAGGGTTGAAATGTGCATAGCAAGAAGAGACCGAGGAGTGTCCTTGAATGAAGTTCGTGATTGGTAGTGGTTTGGAAGAAGGGAAGTGTGATTTTTAACGGTGCTAGTGGCTGTTGATCGGAGGAAAGGTTCTCAGTCGAAACCATGGAACCTTTGGTTTTAGGTTGAAGATGTACGACCTCATGCTATGTTTGCCACCACCCAAAAAGCTTTTCCCCCATTGACTCGCTATGACACAACTCCTAACAATGGCCAAGTGTAACCAATGAAAGGGATTGCAGTATAGTGGCACAAGTAATAAATATCGAATCCACGGGTCTCTAGAGTTACTATTACTCAGCTTCAGTTCATTATCTAGCAAACTAGATTAAGGATTGATTTATAAACTAGTCTACTGACTACTCTACTAATTACACGTTGGTAACTCACTTAGGTATGATTCCCCCTAGCTCCTCAATTAGGTCCAAGTTGCGATTACTTTTGGTTGTTCTACTGTTGATTAAACTGCGGAAGATCCTAAATTAGCTTGGAATCTCTTAAGCTGACCAAGCCCTCTTAGACAGAATACCCGGCAGGCGACTAGCCTTCACCGGGGTAGACTGCTAAGGCGATTCACACAGATCTCCACTACTGGAATGAATTCCAGTACAAAGAAGTGAATTGATTGACTCTCGCACAACCAATTCACCACTATCAATCAAGGAAGCTCTCTTAACCTAATCAGATTCTATCTATCATAGGTTAAAGCAGAAATCAAGAGTAGATGATCAGGCTTCAATTGACTCTATAAATCATGCCTCAATCGATTATAATCAAACAATATAGCATCCAAAACTTCATACAAGAAAGCTCCTAACACATGGAACTCGGGTTCCTCAAAACCTAAGTGAAGGGAAGTTACTCCATAGAGAAGAGAGAGACTGCAGAAATCTGATCTAGATCTTCAATCTCCATCTCCAAGCTTGATTCTCGAGCTCCAATGGTGAAGAAATCCTCCAAAATAGCTCCAAGAATGTTCCCAAGTCGCTCTCTCTCTCTAGGGTTCGTCCCTTGGGTGTTTGGGAACCAAAACCCAGCTCCCCCCTTTAAACAAAAAATCGAGTTTTAAACAGAAATTCCCGATCACGCGGCCAGGCCACACGTCCGTGTGGCTTTCCCAGCTGCCCGTGTGAAGGCTCGATGATTTTCACACGGCCACGAACCACACGGCCGTGTGGAATTCCAGGATGCCCGTGTGGCTTGCTCAGCCTCTGTTTAATGCTTCGTTTCTCCCTCGTCCGGACTCCGAATCAGTTCCTGTTTGATCCCAGATGCTCGTAGTCTCGTCCTCTTTCTTTTTTTGACAAGCTTGCATGATTCTTTGTCCATAAAGAGAGTTAGAAATCCATTCTTCTTCAGGTCATGCCCGAGTTTCTTCTCTCGAATCGTCAATTGATCTCTGATTGATTTGAAACTTGCGCCTATGCTTCACTTTATGTGCTAGGACCTGAAATGTGACAAAGGAACACAACCTAGCATAAAATAGGGCAAAGACGCAATAATTCAAGCTCAAACAATCAAGAAACAAAGGGGAAAACATGTGCAAATACCGAGTCATCAAATCCCCCCACACTTAACTGTTTGCTTGTCCCCAAGCAAACCTAACTCAAACCAATGCAGCTCTCCAGACCTCTATAGCAACAAACAACCCTGATCGTCGGTAGAGAATTTCCTAGATCATATAGCAGCTTACGAGGTCAACTGGTCTTCTAAGACGTCCCCTATCTCTCTCAAAGCGAGTACTAGACTCAAGCCAGGAACATGAGAAGAAGTAGAAGTATGACAGTCAGTTCATGGACAAAGGGACTCACACCATTCACAACCAAGGACTCATTGTACCGGGGTGCTCTTTCACTTCATTTCACCGTTGGAACCACTTTTTGCACTTTCATTTACATTTCTTTTTCTCTTTTTTTCTTCATTCACTTGGCGGGGGTTCCAACTACAGTCTTTTGCACGGTCGACCCTTATTAGTCGAGCAAGAGAAATTTTTGTACATCTAGCGCTCGCCAGAGTACTTCTTTTAACTCCTGTTCCTCAACTCGTGTGAAGGGTCAATGAAATCAAGGGGGGTCTTCTCTCGAATCTTCAATTGATCTCTGATTGATTTAAAACTTGCGCCTATGCTTCACTTTATGTGCTAGGACCTGAAATGTGACAAAGGAACACAACCTAGCATAAAATAGGGCAAAGACGCAATTATTCAAGCTCAAACAAGGGAAAACATGTGCAAATACCAAGTCATCAAATCCCCCACACTTAACTATTTGCTTGTCCCCAAGCAAACCTAACTCAAACCAATGCAGCTCTCTAGACCTCTATAGCAACAAACAACCCCGATCGTCGGTAGAGGATTTCCTAGATCATATAGCAGCTTACGAGGTCAACTTGTCTTCTAAGACGTCCCCTATCTCTCTCAATGCGAGTACTAGACTCAAGCCAGGAACATGAGAAGAAGTAGAAGTAATACAGCTAGTTCATGGACAAAGGGACACACACCATTCACAACCAAGGACTCGTTGTACCGGGGTGCTCTTTCACTTCATTTCACCTTTGGAACCACTTTTTGCACTTTCATTTGCATTTCTTTTTCTCTTTTTTTCTTCATTCACTTGGCGGGGGTTCCAACTGCAGTCTTTTGCACGGTAGACCCTTATTAGTCGAGCAAGAGCAATTTTTGTACATCTAGCGCTCGCCAGACTTCTTTTAACTCCTTTTCCTCAACTCGTGTGGAGGGTCAATGAAATCAAGGGGGGTCGGAAGCTCTATCCGTGCCCTTAAAAACACATCCTCAAGTAGGCAAACCGTTCAACGGGTGAAAATTTTACTTGTACTAGAGACATCTTAGCTTCACCTTGTAGGAGTACCCCACTAAGGATCACTAAAATCTCTTCCAAAACCCAATTTTGTGCAATGAACGGTGCCACACACATTGGGCTTACCCCATGTTTAAGATTTCAATGATTTCGACATGGAGGACCAACTGCTTCCCATTTTCCATATGAGCACCCTGTTCGATACACGAGTCCATAACACAATCCAAACAGAGTCACCATTACCACATGAATTCAACGGTCTTAGCTCCACTAATTCACAAAATCAACTGGCACAACAGAGAGCAAGATAGGAAAAATCTTATACTTCAACATCCTCCATAGTGCTACACTACCTCCCTAGGTTTCACATTACTATAGAGAAGTCGATTCAAAGCATACTGAGCAGGCAATTTGCAAGGAAACACGTACTTGGAGCCATCAAATTTAAAAATTTGGACAGTGGACTAGGCTCCAAGCACACAAACAGCCAAACATTCACCCGCATACATAATCAAACACCCCCCACACTTAAGCACGACATTGTCCTCAATGGAGGAAAGATAAGGAGGGTAGAACGAAGTTACCAGATCAAGGGTGAATGATGATGGACGGGTCAGGCCGTGCATTCCAGAAAGAGAGAGTAATCAGAACACAAACACCACACAAATTCTCACAAAGGTTGAGTTATTGACTCTAAAATCAAATAACAAAACTGACTCAACCGAGGAGAAATAGAGAAAGAAATGAAAACCGACTGGTTGGGTTGCCTCCCAACAAGCTCTTCTTTCACGTCGTGGGCTGGACGATGGCTCCTAAGTTTCGGTCCATGCTAGAACCTCCTTGAAGTTGAGGTTCTCGTCAATGAGGTGGAGTCGCAAGTCACGAGCATGTGGTATGACTGGTGATGGAAGCTCGTGCACTTGATGCAGATGAAGTCTCCATCCTCGAGACCTCTTCTTCTCTTCTCTCGTCCCATTGCCTCAAACCAGATATGACAGCATCGATTGACCACCATCGCGTCCACCAAGAGGAACCAATGTCGATGCGGCCTTGGTTTGGCAAAGAGCCACTGCAAATGGGTCCTTTCCAAGCAGCTCCTCGAAATTTGGTTAATTAATCACAATTAACTCATAGCCGGTGCAAGCCTCTTCCACCTCAACTTCATCCTCAGCCTGGACGCCTATTGCTTCTTCAACCTCCCTTTCTTCTTCATGTGGTATGACCCCTGGGAAATGATCAAGAACTCCTTCTGCTTCACTTTCGGCATCCTCCACAACTTCTTTCTGCACCCTTTCTGGCTCTTCTTCTTCTAGCAAGGATTGGAGAGCAAGCTGCCAAGCAATTTCTTTCATGAGATCTTCTTGCATCTCCTCACTCATGCCTACCTCTTCAAAGCTCAGTTTGGGATGTGGGAAGGTGTGGTCGGCTATGACAGAACATTCCTGATCATGATCATCACGGGAGCTCTCCGTGACAACTTTAGTGTGCTCCACAATGTCCTTGTAGCCTTCTTCTTCCTCCTCCTCTTCTAGTATGCTAGCAGAAGGGTGATCGGGAGCAGGTTGTGCACAAGATCGCTCAAGATCATCGATGCTCTTCTTAAGGCTCAGGAGGATCTCCTCTGTTTCACGATAGGCCTGGACACAATGATCCATCCTGGAGCATGTTCTCTCACTGTCTCAAGCAAACTTCTCCATGAGAAGCCTCAATTCATAGTTTGGATCTGGTTGCGGAGTGTAGCATGGCTCTGCAGAATGGCCCGTGAAGGCCGCCATGGGTAACTCCAGCGCCGATGGCCCTTCTGGTTGTGGGAGAAATTCTTCTTAGTAATGAGGTTGTTCTTGATATGCCCAGGGGTCCGGTTGTTCTCCGTAGTAAGGGGGTTGGTACTGGAACCCGAATCCATAGTCTTCTCCTCCTTGATTGCTCCAGGGAGTCTCGGAGTAATACCACTCGGGTGGTGGTAGGTACCCCTAATTGTTGGAGAAGCCATGAGGATCCATGATTCAGATCTGCACCAACAAAAACAAAAGCACCCAAGTGAAAAGCAAGGGTGGAAAAGAAAAGAAAAGAAAAATGCTAAAGTAACAAACTTCTGCCTTTCCTAATACTCTAGAAAATCCCCGGCAACGGCACCAAAAACTTGACTCGCTATGACACAACTCCTAACAATGGCCAAGTGTAACCAATGATAGGGACTGCAGTATAGTGGCACAAGTAATAAATATCGAATCCACGGGTCTCTAGAGTTACTATTACTCAGCTTCAGTTCATTATTTAGCAAACAAGATTAAGGATTGATTTATAAACTACTCTACTGACTACTCTACTAATTACAAGTTGGTAACTCACTTAGGTATGATTCCCCCTAGCTCCTCAATTAGGTCCAAGTTGCAATTACTTTTGGTTGGTCTACTGTTGATTTAACTGCGGAAGATCCTGAATTAGCTTGGAATCTCTTATGCTGACCAAGCCCTCTTAGACAGAATACCTGGCAGGCGACTAGCCTTCACCGGGGTAGACTGCTAAGGTGATTCACACAGATCTCCACTACTGGAATGAATTCCAGTACAAAGAAGTGAATTGATTGACTCTCGCACAACCAATTCACCACTATCAATCAAGGAAGCTCTCTTAACCTAATCAGATTCTATCTATCATAGGTTAAATAAGAAATCAAGAGAAGATGATCAGGCTTCAATTGACTCTATAAATTATGCCTCAATCGATTATAATCAAACAATATAGCATCTAAAACTTCATACAAGAAAGATCGTAACACATGGAAGAAGGGTTCCTCAAAACCTAAGTGAAGGGAAGTTACTCCATAGAGAAGAGAGAGACTGCAGAAATCTGATCTAGATCTTCAATCTCCATCTCCAAGCTTGATTCTCGAGCTCCAATGGTGAAGAAATCCTCCAAAATAGCTCCAAGAATGTTCCCAAGTCGTTCTCTCTCTCTCTAGGGTTCGTCCCTTGGGTGTTTGGGAACCAAAACCCAGCTCCCACTTTCCTTTGGCTGAAAATCGAGTTTTAAACAGAAATTCCCGATCACGCGGCCAGGCCACACGGCCGTGTAGCTTTCCCAGCTGCCGGTGTGAAGGCTCGGTGATTTCCACACGGCCATGACCCACACGGGCGTGTGGAATTCCAGGATGCCCGTGTGGCTTGCTCAGCCTCTGTTTAATGCTTCGTTTCTCCCTCGTCCGGACTCCGAATCAGTTCCCGTTTGATCCCAGACGCTCATAGTCTCGTCCTCTTTCTTTTCATGACAAGCTTGCATGATTATTTGTCCATAAAGTGAGGTAGAAATCCATTCTTCTTCAGGTCATGCCCGAGTTTCTTCTCCCGAATCGTCAATTGATCTCTGATTGATTTGAAACTTGTGCTTATGCTTCACTTTATGTGCTAGGACCTGAAATGTGACAAAGGAACACAGCCAGCATAAAATAGGACAAACACGCAATAATTCAAGCTCAAACAATCAAGAAACAAAGGGGAAAACATGTGCAAATACCGAGTCATCACCCATGTCCAAGACCTTCAGACAAGCTAGTGATGACAACCACCCCATGAAATCTAGCATTTAGAGGTTTCCGCTGTGGCGGAGAGACGATAGGGCTGAGTGTTGATGGTTGTGCACATCTTTGCACCAAAAATGTCCTGACCCCATTGGTCGAGAGTGAGTGATTCATTCTTGTTTTGCATTTTCATATCCTACCTCGGTGAGAACCTTTGTTGCCTTTTCGTTTGTTCCTTGGACTTGAGTTCTATGCATGGTTACTTGTGGTTGGTGAGTAGTCCGGTCGAGACTTGCATTCTTGATGCATTCTTGATGCATTTGTGAACAGGATGAGAACTTTTTATTTGCCCATTCTTGATGCATTCGAATGTCGTTTGTGGTGGATGTTGGTATTGCTTGAGGCGGTTCATGCATTCATGCCCAATAGCCATTGAGATTCACCACTTTGTGCCTTTTGATTTTTCCCCAAATTATTTGGTTAGGTTGATATATAATACCTTGGTTGAAAATGGTTTGCTTGGGGGCAAGCAAAAGTCTGAGTGTGGGGGAATGATTCGAGCTCAATTGTACACTTTTTACCCCCGGTATCCTTAGTCGTTTCAGGCATTTTTACTTCGGGAGGTTTTGGTTTTACGCTGAGTTTACGGTCGTAAGACCGTGAACCCAAGTCGCAGACCGTGATGTGAGCTAGACCTTGGTATAAAAGGGGGGTTTGAGCTTAAGGAAAAGGGGGAGAGACCTAGTGTGAGAAACTTCTTCTTCTTATTCTTCTTCTTCTTCTTCTCCTTCTTTAGATTTCTAGAGTGAGAAAGTGACGAACCAAAGAAGAGAAGAAGCTAGGGTTTCATCTTCAAGCAAGGTTTTGGGAATTCCTACCACAAAGGAGGATCTCTTCAACACAAGGAGCAAGGCTAGCATCTCCATGATGGTTTTCCTTCTTCTCTCTTGTGTTTCCCCTTCTCCTAGCATGGAGTAGTCCCTTAATTCACTTGGATTTTTGTAAGCCCTAGCTACAATTTTGTGAATGTTTGTATGAATTGAATGATTTTTGTGTGGATGTGTTTTAATATGAATTTGGAGGTATTTTCATGGAAGATTGTGTTGTGGGTAGAGAGAAAACACTCTTTCTTTGAAAGAGGAGTGTTAAGTTGGATATTTTTATGCAAATTTTGTCTCCTATCTAGGTTAATGTAGGCAACCCTCTTTGTTCATATTAGCACCTAGGGTTGGTTATAATTTGGCCGTCTGAACTCCGATTCGAGGGTGAAGTCCTGGAAACCCTTAGTCAATAGGTTCCAGGTAAAGCCGTGTCCAGAGGCACAAATAAACCTATCACCTCTGGTAATTGAGCCTCCACTCTCCTTTAGAGTCGAGTCACTTCTAACCTCTCCTTTCAGTCGAGCATATTGATAACCTCAAGAGAGCTACTTGGTGGCTTGAATCTAATTCCCTTGACTTAGAGACCGAGAGAGTGGCATTTTTCCACTTGTTGCACTTCCCTACGGTTTAGAACCTCCTTACCACACGTGTCCATTCGATCCGACAAGTCATAATTGCTAGCTAGGGGGAGCAACAATCGGGTGAAGCCTTCTAAATTAGTGTCAAATCCATTTACTTTTCCAACCGTTTTAGCTACAGATCATCGTTGCCACCAAAAACCAATTGCTAGATAATGTTACAAACAATCGAAGTAGGGGTACATGAACCTGTCCGGGTTGACATTTAAACATACTTTCCCTATATTAGACTCAATTGAGGTTTTTACTTGGGCCTTAATTGGGGGTTTTATTGTGATATTCGGGACGAGTCAATTCCTATTGTGTTTCTATTTGATTTCGATGGGATTTTAGGGTGTATTAGTCGACATGTGCAAATTAGGTACAAAATAAGGTCACAAGTGTAAAGAAGGGGCATGAATTGATGATCATGGCCTAGAAGGCGAAGATCCCGGCCGGGATCGCAAGGCGCGAAGTCCAGCTGAATATCGCTACCCAAGAGCCATAGATTGCGACCGCGATCTTGGAGGCTCATGATGCGAACTTCGCAAGGAAGGAGCATTGGAGATCTAGAGAGTCTCCATAGTCAAGACATGACCAACATTCATCTTGTCCACGAGGAAGATCGCGGCCACGACTAGTGGATCGCGACCGCTAAGTCAGCCCGTGATCTCCCCCTTCCCAAAGGCCTCGACGAATTCCTTATTAGATCACGGCTCAGAGACCAAAGATCTCGCCCACGATATCCTTACTTTAGGACACAAACTTTCCTGAATCCAGAATGCCTATAAATACAAGACCCCTTTTCTCTTTTGAAGTGAGCTAATTTTGCGAGAATTTTTCTTGTTCTAGAGAGAGAAAATAGAAACAAGATGAAGGAAAGAGAAGAGAAGGAGAAGAAGGAAGAGCTAGGAGCAAGGAGACATCTTCTCCAACTCAAAGTCTTCTGCTATTTCTACCATGTATCTTCTTCCCTCCTTTATGGAGTAGTCTTCTATGGTACTAGGGGTTCTATTTCTACCATGTGTTTGTCTAGTTGATTTTAATGCCACTCTTTCCTAAATAATGATGCTTGGGTAAGTCGTCCTAATCTTCCCTCTTACCCTACTTTATGCTACCACGGTGGGTATGGTGTTTTAGGGTTAGAAGGGTATGCGCCATCTTGCGAGTTTAGGTTAGATGTGTGAATGGGGGCCTATAGTGGTCCAGGTGACCAAACCCCTGGTATAGGTAGCCTTCTTAGATGAAACCCGGGATGAAACCTCAATGTGGACGGTGGATAGTGTCCATTGAAATGAGCCACAAGCTTAATTCCCCATATACGATAGCCTAGATCGAGGTGACTGGAACATGGGTTTAGGGGAGGCGTACTCGGAGGCGTGTGGATAACCATGAAAGCCCATGGAAAAGACTCATGCAATTTTGATTAATGCCTCAATTGAATATATCGAATCAATCATTCACAAACGAGGTTCATACAACCATTCCTAACATACAAAACTAGGGTTCTTCATACATAGATGAAAAGAGAGTTTACTCCATGGAGAGAAGGGAAAACACCAAACTTGGAAGAGAAATCATAATGTGAGGAATGAAAATCTTCTCCAAGTTAGAAATCAGCACTCAGGGGGTGAAAGATCGAGCTCCAATGTCCTAAGATCGCTCCAGTATGCTCCCAAGGTTGTTCTTTGTCACTTTCTCTCTCTACAGTTCTCTTTCTACTCTGTAGAACTAAAAAATCCGGATCCTTTGCAATATGCCCGTGTTGGCCTTTTAAAGCCTGGAGATTCGCGAGTTACTCGCTCTAACTATCACAATAAAATCCCACCTAAGGTCCAAGTATAAACCTTAGATGGGTGAAATATAGGGCAAGTTTTTTAAATATCGACTCGGGCCGGTCCATGTATCGCTACTTCGACTGTCTGAAACATCATCTAGCGGATTGGTTTTGGTGAAAAAGGTCTAAAAATAAATTACTTTGCAAAGGTAAAATGGATTTAACTCTAGTTGAGAAAGCTTCACCCGGGTGTTGCTCCCCCTAGCTAACAATTATGACTTGAAGAATCGAAGGATCGTTTGTGGTTAGGGGGTTATAAACCGCAGGGAAGCCTAACAAGCAACCAAAGCTACCCTCTTAGCCTCTAGGTTGATGAATGGGATACGATCCAAGCCACAAATGTGACCCTCTCAACTTATCAACTAAGGAATGGTTAGACTTCACCCTCGAATTGGAGTTCGGACGGCCACCCACAACCGAAACCTAAGTGCTAATGCAAATTAGAAGGTTTGCCCTTTAACTAACCTAGAATAGGACAGATAGAATGCCCAAGGGAACCCATCTATAATAAAGCCTCTTGAGTTAAGGAGGGTTCTCTCCAAACTAGCTTAGGAAGCATTGAATGCCCAAGGAAACCCATCTCGAGATGTGCCTCTTAGGTTAAGGAGGGTTATCTTTAAACTAGTTTAGGAGGCATTAAAAGCCCAAGGCAACCGACTCGAATGGAGCCCCTCTGGGTAAAGGAGGTTTCCTCTCTAAACTAGCCTAGGAGGTATGAAATGCCCAAGAACCCCATCTCAATATTGAGCCTCTTAACCTAAGGAGGTTTCCTATCTAAAATAGCCTAGGAGGCATGAAATGCCTAAGAACACCCATCTCAAATTGAGCATCCTAACGTAAGGAGGTCTCCTCTCTAAGCTAGGTTAGAATGGCAATTAGATTGATAGGATTTCACACAACACAATCATTTCTGAATAATACATCCACATTCACATTAAAACACAACCACACACAAATCATTCAATTCATAAAAGCATTCACATAATTGTAGCTAGGGTTTACAAACGCCCAAGTGCAAGAAGGGACTACTCCATGCTAGGAGAAGGGAAAACACAAGAGAGGGAAAGGGAAACCATCAAGAAGATGCAATCCTTGCTCCTTGTGCTGAAGAAATCCTCCTTTGGGGAAGGAATTCCCAAAACTTTCTTGAAGATGAGACCATAGCCTTTCGTCTTCTTTGGTTCGTAACTTTCTCACTCTAAAATTTGACGAAGGAGAAGCTTCTCACCCTAGGTCTCTCCCTCTCTTCTTCTTTTCATCTTTCCTTTTAAGTGGAGATCGCGCCTAGTTCACGGCCTGAGTTCATGGTCGTGAACATTGTAACGCGTCTGTGAACTCAGTGCTGCAACCAAAACGCACTGCTTGATTTGCTCGGGTTCACGGTTGAATCGCACGAAACTACACCACAAATTAATCCCGACTAGAGCCCAAGTTTTTAAACTCTATCTGGGTGAGCTATAGAGCAAGTATTTAAATTGTTAACCCGGGGCGGTCCATGTACCCCTACTTCAATCACTTAAGTTGTTATCTAGCAAAACAGTTTTGGGTTTTAAAACTAAGAAAACTACAAACTAAACTAGCAAGGAAAAGCAAATAAAGGAGAAGTCTAACTAAGGGAGCTTCACCCAGGAATTGCTTCCCCCTAACTAGCTACCATGACTTGTTGGATTGAATGAAGTCGTGAGGCGTAGGTGGTTGTGAACCTCGGGGGTGAGCAACTAGTGATCAATCTGTCACGACATCAATTCACTAGCGATATATTTGTCACGAGATCGACCCACTCACCAAGTGTAGGGGAACTGTTAGGAGGAGAAACTAGCGATCCATTTGTCACGGGATGGATTCGCTAGGGATCTATTTGTCACGGGATCGATCCTCTCACTTAGGCTCTATTGGTTGCCTAGGTCTCTCCCTCAAACTGGAGTTTGAGCGGCTTAATCACAACCAACCTAGATGCAAACTTGTAACCGCGTACCGCAGAGGGATGCATATGTGGTCGGATACCATAATCTCAATTGCTAAACCGAGGTAAGCATGAAAGGCCGTGTCACTCGACCCTCTCGGTTTAGACAATCAGTAGTTGACTTACTCCCTCACTCAACTCAAGGTTGGACGGCTTAATCA